GAACAATGTCTTTGGGTACCTAGGTGAACATGAAAAGGAAGCAAAGTTTTTCCATGCGAGGGACAAGGCATTTAGGGCTCAGATGATCCTATCCATCATATCTAAGATGACTAGTTTTGGTGGAATGCAGTAGTACCCCTTCTCTTATTATGAAGTTTAGAAAATGGAACTTTGAGACTTCTACCCTTTTTTGTTATAACTTAGGTTGATGCACTTGTTGATAAAACATATTAGTACTTATACATTGATACTTTTTCCTTATTGATATAATGGAACTTTCTTGTTATATCTCTTTGTTTGTAGTATGTCATAATCTATCTGTTGCTTTGAAATGTACTCACATAAGCTTGTCATAATGATGAGATGTGTAGGATGAAAAAAATCCTATGTTGTGTTTAAGGAGAGAAAGCCAAGTGTGTATGACTCATGGCTCATGTGTCAAAAGCAAGTTGTTGGATTCAGGGGGAATTCTTATTGTTCATGTAACAATCAAGAAGAAGTTGAAGATGTATACTATAAGTATTGTGAAGTACAGTTGAATATAACATATTCCTCTGAGAAGTTGGTTGTAGAGCCATCCACATCAACAATTAGGTCATATCTGATAGGAGGCATCACTGGATTCTTCACTAGGATTGTGGCATGGGGGTTGTTTAATTAACCAAATCATTTGGAAGGTTATATATATAAATATATATGAGAGAGAGATAGGGAGAGGGGGAGAGAGAGAGAGAGATTGATAAATAGATAGATGGAGAGATAGAGAGAGAGAGATATGTGAGGGAAAAAGAGAGATAGGGATGGTTCAAATGCAACTAAACTAAACACTAGGTGGGTGGGTGGGTGTGTGATTCTGTGTTTGTTGTCTTCTGTTATGGTCATGGGTTTGTTTTCATGTATTCCTTTTTATCATATTATCATTAGCAAGTCACTTATATTGAGCAGGAACCACATTTTAGATCACTTATCATTATCATTATCATATATGATTTTATCACTATTATGGATCACTTATAGTAGGAACCACATTTCATCATCTGTTTTCATGTAGTTATCCTCTGTGTTCATTATCAGATCAGATAAATTGATCTCATCACTATATACTTATCAGTTGTTAGCAGGTCACTTACATTTATCAGGTCTCATTGTTTGAAGGTTGACATGACATTCAATGATTTGTGAATGGATTGATTAGTAAATGTGAATGCAAACTGTTATCATGTATCATTGTTTGAAGGCTAACGGTACCTTCAATGAAATATGAATGGATTGTTTAGGGCATATTAGAATATCTCATGTTTGAATGAAATGTGAATGGATTGAATAGGAATGGGAAGGAGATCCAACAAATGAGCAGATATGGAGTGATATAGTTATCATTCTCATATTTGTTATCAGATGAACAGATATATGGACTGATATTCAACAAAATATGGGTCTGCCCATATAGTCTACATCATCTTAATCTGAGGGAGATCCAACCCATGTTTCGAAAGTTCATTTGTTAACAAATGAATAGATATATGGACTGATATTCAATGAAATTATTTCCTTTTATACTAACAAATAGAAGAAAAACTATGGACTTCACTCAACTAAAATGCAACCACATACATACAGCTTGTAGAGCTTGAAGGGAGAGTTTGTTTGTTTTGTCATTTCATCAGCTAGATGCTAAGAAGAGGAATTGGATACAATGTGGTAAAAATGAAGTAGATGCTGAGAAGAGGAATTGTGAAGATGGCACGACAACAAAGCCTGAACAATGAATTCTGGGGTGGAGACCTAGAATTCATAACAATGGACGGTCCAGATTTCTTGCACCTGGACTCGTGGTTATTAATTAGAAAAAGCGCACTAGGTAGTTAGAGCATTTATGTTTGCTCTCATAGTTTGCATCGATTTCGAACAAATGCCAATAAATTTGTGCCCTAATTTATATAAATTCCAAACAAACGAGAAGAGTGCAAAAAACCATACTAACTCTTGAACCGATTTTGCACTCATGAACCGAGATGAGTCCAAAAATGCATGGTACATATTTGCATTTGCATTGGAAACAAATGCAGCCTAAATAATAAAAAAAGTCATTTTCAACCCCGGATTTTAGTAAAAAGTCAATGAATCCGTTAAACAATGTTGTGTGACACCGTTAAAGTTTGAAAAAGACCAATTTCGACCCTAAGGTTTAAAAATGGGTCACTTTAATAAAGTTAATTAAGTAAATTACTTCATGGTGTAATTAAATGACCATAAAGTATAAATAAATATTTAATTTACTTTGTTAATTAATTAAATGACCCTAAAATATTTAATTAAGTTAATTAAATAAAGCACACTAATTAAGATAATTAAGTAATTAACTAAGTAAATTAAATTATGAAAACAAAATTAATTAGCTAAATTAAATAAACAAAGCTAATCGATCTAAATAAGTAAATGGATCATTTACTAAAACACCCCTAGAATTTCATGAATTTACTAAAACCTACCCTATTGTTTGTGTTTTACTAAAACATCCCCTATGGCTTGCAATCAACTTACTTAATTGAACTTCCATTAGGTGAAAATAGAAAATGATCCATTCAAATAAATTTAATCAAAAGAAACTGAAAACAAAGATGCCATTGTTGCTCCTAGTAAAACACGGACAAACACTCTATTTTCTCTATTTGGTCAATTTTGTTTTCTATACAAAAAAAGTGTTAGGGGTATTTTTGAAATAAACAACAATGGATCCATACCTATGAACAATTTCACTCAGTTTAGGGGTACTTTTGGAATAAACAACCACGGGTCCATGCCCTTGAACATTTTCCAATTAGTTTAGGTGATCATTCTACTATTTTCAGATGGCAAAACAAATAGTTCTTAATAAAAGATCATTTAAGTAAATAGCTTACAAACTATAAGGGGTGTTTTAGTAAAATGCAAACTATAGGGTAGGTATAAGTAAATCTATGAAATCATAGGTATTCTAGTAAATGGCCCTAAGTAAATTAAGTTAATTAAGCAAGCTTTTAAAAACCGACCCAAAATGAAACCACTTTGGCCATCGGTTTTTGGGTCAATAGTTTGATCATTCGGTTTGAATGGATCAAACCATGACGTTTGGAAATAAAAAATAAAATATAATTAAAATAAAAAAAATGATTAAACAATTTAGCAGTTCAACCGTCTAGGAAAGTAGTTTGTCGACCAAGTCATATTTTTTTTTTAATTTTTGGGCCAAGTATAAAATAGAACTGGATAATTGACTAATTGCTAGGTTGAATGATCTGACCCCCAAGTATAATTGTTTGATTGCCCGAAATTTTTAACTTGGTCAACAAATCACTGACCCAAATGGTTGAATTGCTAAGTTGTTATATCTAGTAAATAGTTTTTGGGCCATTTTGTTTTAATTATATTTTATTTTTATTTTTCAAAATGTCATGGGTTGATCCATTCGGAGCAAATGATCAAACCATTAACCTAGAAACCAATGGGCAAAGTAATTTCATTTGGGTTGATTTTTGAAACTTTGCTTAATTGGCTTAATTTACTTATTTAGATCGATTAGTTTTTTATTTAATTCAATTAACTTCATTTCCCTAATTAATTTAATTTACTTATCTAAATACTTAGTTTACTTAACTATCTTTATTAATGTAATTTATTTAATTTACTTAATTAAATACTTTAAGGTCATTTAAGGGAAAATTCCCGATTAGTACCTTATGCTTTGGCCCTAGTGCCACTTTGGTCGCTGAACTTTAAAACATGACAATTCAGTACCCAAATTGTTAAAACATGCAAATTTAGTACCTACCATACTGTTAACTAGCTATTAAGTGACATTTGAAAAGACAAAAATGCCCTTTAAATGTCATCTAATTTTCTTTATCAACAATCCAAACATCGACAAAAAATGAACAGTTCAAATCCTTGCCTCTTCTATTCGAGAAAGTTCGGGTCACCAAAATGCCCACTAAGATGTGACCCCAACTTTCTTGAATAGAAGAGAAAATGATTTGGGACTATACTAGATCACCACGTTTTGAAGATTTGGATTCTGAATTATTATGGTTTAAAGTTCAGAGACCAAAGTGACATTAGGCCCAAAGTACAAGGTACTAATCATGATTTTTCCTTTATTAATTAATTAAATATTTAATTATAATTTTAGGTAACTTAATTAGACCCTAAATTAATTTACTTAGGTTGAATTTGGAAGGAGTACAAATGCAAATGCAAATATGTACACTACAAATACATACAAAATACAAGGTTTTGCACTCTAGTACTCCTTCTAAATACAAAATACAAGGTTTTGCACTACAAATACATACAAAATACAAGGCCCATTTTTCACCAAAAAAAAAAAAAAAAACGTTTTTGCCACGTAGGTAGTGAGCAACACTATGCTGTTTGGTAAGGTGATTTTCATCACCGTTTTTCATTTATGCACTAACAGGTAAGCACCACATAGGATACACATCAGCCAATCGATGGGGTCCTGATTTTCGAGGCATGCCCGATTTTTTAATAATCGACTAAACCAAACAATAAAATACATAAGTGTTTGTTGAAACGCCTATATGGATCCGACATGACACCATTTTTTTAAAAACGGCCACGGTTCCAAACATCCCCTCTATTAAAGTGACCCTCTTCAAAATTTTAGGGTTAGAAGTGGACTTTTTCCAAACTTTAAAATTGCCACATAGCATCGTGTAGCGGATCCGTTATAAATGGCTTGTTTACCAAAATTTGGGATCGAAAATGGTTTTTTTTATTCTTAGGTTGAAATCAGACTTTTCGCAAAATCCAAGGCATGGTCCGGATCATCCGGTCTGATCCCTATTACTAGCCCTACACCTATTGATTGGGTTCGGCCTTCGGGAGTTCGGATAAATTAGGCCAAGTTATACAAGGCATGGTCCGGATCATCCGGTCTGATCCGGTTTCAATAATCAATATACCAAAGTTTGACCCTAAAGCTAGGAATATATATTGCTTCTGAGTTACTGCCTGCTTTCTCTTCCAGTTCCTTGTTGCTCCTCCCTCCACAATATCAACCCAGAAGGGAAAAGCGTAGGGAGCAATGGTGCACGTCAGTTTCTACAGAAACTGTAATACTCTAACTCTGCTTCTTGTATCTCGATCTCTTTGGGCTTATTTGAAGATCTTTTTCCCCACTCCCCATTTTCCCCCCTTGATCGGTGATCCCCATTTTGTTGTTGTTTTTTTTTTCATGATTGTTAACTGTAATCCCCATTTTGTACGATTTCGATACCCGTAGTTACTTATTTTTTGCGCTTTTAATCTAATTTTCTTTTTTTTTGGCAAAAAACTTCTAATTACTGTAGAAAGGGTTAGACTTTATAGGGTTTAGTTGATCTGTACTCGCTATTCCGGCATTCTCTTATCGCAATTGTTGAATTTTGGTTGAAAATAAACCCTAGTACTGGGATCGTTTCAGATGGGAAGACTTTCAAGAAGCCTCGTCGTCCGTACGAGAAGGAGCGTTTGGACGCTGAGCTGAAGCTTGTTGGAGAGTACGGGCTTCGATGTAAGAGGGAGTTGTGGAGGGTTCAGTATGCACTGAGCCGCATCCGTAATAACGCCAGGATGCTTCTAACTCTCGACGAGAAGAACCCCCGCCGGATCTTTGAGGGTGAAGCCCTTCTTCGTAGGATGAACAGATATGGGCTTTTGGATGAGAGCCAGAACAAGCTCGATTATGTATTGGCCCTGACTGTTGAGAACTTCCTTGAGCGCCGTCTTCAGACGCTTGTGTTCAAGTCGGGTATGGCCAAGTCGATCCACCACGCCCGGGTGCTCATCAGGCAGAGGCATATCAGGTACGAAGCGCATTTAACATTTTAACGGGAGGAAACCATATTTCCCCAGTTTATCTTCTTTGGTTCTGCTATGGTTGTTTGTTGCTTTCCCTTTATTGGTTATTGGTTATGTGGCTTATTACATGTTTTCAGTAGTTGTAAGGAGCATATTTTGCAAGGGGAGTCTTTTGTGTTATGACGTATCATTTATGCATTTGTAGGGTATGAACATGCAGACTACTAGTCTACTAAACTAAATTGATTGTTGATGGTAGGTTCTTGCATGTTAACCAATTTTGTTGTTTCTGATATGCCAATTACTTCTTCTTCAGCCCCTTCTTTTTCTTATTCCTTTTTGTTTGCTTTGCTTTGCTTTAGTTTGCCATTTAGTTTGATTTCATAGGACTTGGGTCATTTGCTTGTAAAGCATCTTGACATTCAATGATTCAATCCAATGTTTATTGTTTCTATATTTGAATATATGTCTGTGTGTATATAACACCCACATGGAGACTTATTAATGCCCTGCTTGATGATTAAGTGATTGTTAAAAGTACTTTTTGCACAAGTACTTTTTAGAAGTACTTATTTTAAGTTTTAACAACCACTTAAGGCTGTTTGGTGACCCACTTGCCAAATCACTTATTATGTTTTTAAGCACTTTGAGGTGGGGATGTTTGGTAAGCTACTTTCCCCATAAGTGCTTATATTGACACAAATGGCAATTTTAGCCCTCACTTCACTCATACATATATACAACTCCAAAGGAAGGTGCCGACCACCGGTTGCCGGTTGACGGTTGACGGTCACTCCCAAGGGAGGTGCCGTCGCTGGTATGCTTGACCCTGTTCAGAAGGGGGTTTATTGGAGAGATGGGGGTATTCTGGGTATTTATGTAAAGAATGACGAATTTACCTCATGAAGATAGGGTAAAGGTGAACTTGCTGAAGCTTTTGGTGCACCAACAATGATGCTATATTCATATCATTCTGTGGTCATTTGGCATGTTTAAGCACAATAGGACCTCATTGTGTAGCAGAAATCAGTATCCCAATATTATCTGGAAAATAAAAAAGGTAATTTGGATTTTGGAGGCTGTTCTTCCTAAACAAGAGGTGCAATACAAGTTAGAGTATGCAGATGATGTCAACTGTCAACTGTATTGTTGTAAATGATATTCTAGGTAGCATATTTTCACATTGCCTAGTAACCTCTAATATTTATTGAAAATGGTAGGAAAACAATCTTCCGTAGGACATGATTTGTAATACTTAATTCCTTGTATAATAGGGCTGTGATTTGTTGTAGATTAATGTAAGCTTATTTTGTCAAAAAGGTTATTGCTTAATCTTTCTAAATTATGTAATAAAGCCTTTTATAGCTTATTCTGAATTATGTAATAAACAGTTTCTAGGAAAAATGTTTGTACTAGGAACTGTTTATTAGATCAATTGAGGTTGTCTACAATTTTCCTTTTTCAAAAAAAAAAAGAATAAAAAGAAAAAGATTGTATGCAATTACTTGGTGCTGAAACTTCAAAGTGTTTGGTTTGGCTTTTTATTCTTCTTTAATTTTTTGTCAAACATTTGAACTGTGGGATCGATAAGAGAAGCTTCTTTTCTGTTAAATGTTTTTGTACTAATTTAAGATTATATATATTCTATTCTATGAAAAATATATCATAAGTTATTATTGTTCATTCCCCCTTGTTGGTAAATATAAACCAGCAATTCCAACAGGTCATAGTATTGAATTTTTAGGTGTCTTTAAATCTTATAACCTCTAATTTATAAAGCACTTCCAAAAAGATTTGGTTATTAAATCACCAATGTTAAATTTTCTTTGATCAGAAACAAGTTTAAAGGAATTTATTAATCAAGATGACTTAGAACATATTCAAACAGTAACTAATTAGGTAGCTGAAATGGACCTAAGCAAGTTGGAATCAAACTAGATGGATGAGCTTACAATGTAGAGAAAGGTTGGGCCAAAACAAGGAAAAGAAGAACAAAATTTAAGGCAAATGACAGATTGAACTAATATTAAGTAAACATCAATAAAACACCTGCTGTAAGGATAAATAATAGCCTAATGGTGTCAGCAGACTCAGCACAATTAGATTTGTTTAGGAGTCAGCACCTAGAGATGGAGTCAGGCAATGGACCCATAAATGACATATATAGAGGAAAATCAAATTCCTTTAAAGATCTACAACATAGTTATCTTCGTAAAAGATGTAACTAAGCAAGGAAACAATTGCTAACAAAGTAAAGGAATTGAAATGTAAAATATTTTCTCAATTTCTATCAAATCCTTGATTGATATGATGTCAACTTAATATCCATGGGCCCCACTTGAGGTAGCCAAATCTGCTAGAATGGTTTGAGTTCATAGGCTGTCTTGTATGTGGCTGCAAGTATAGGTTGTCAGGCCCATGGTTTTAGGCCTTTTTTTTAGCCCATGTGTTCTCTCTATCACAAAATCAATGATAATGATACAAACTGGAATACTGAAAAGAGAAACGTAGTATAAAGTATAACCTTACAAAATTTTAGGTTGTAATCTTATACAATCTGTATGCACTTAGCTATGAGGGGTCCCTTGTTAGTTGGGCTAGACTTTCCAGTTCTGCCATGATAAGCCTGAATGTGCTAGAGAAGAGAGAGGTCAGAGGTTGAGTCTTGCCATTTAGCATTTTGAAAATTCCATCATTTAGTGACACCGGTGGTTATATAAAACTAGGACCAGTTCACAGTTTGGCTGGTCCGGTCCAGTTTCCAGAACACTGGTTTGGAGATGTATTGGAATGTTGCAGTTTTGACAAGATCTCAACCAAGAACTATCCACTTCTAGAAATTTATATTGTGGTTGGGATACTAGAAATTTATATTGGGGTTGTTGATTTGCTAATAATGATTTTAATGAGTGGTGGAATGGTAGGGTATACTAGAATTTTATATTGGGGTTGTTCATTTGATAATAATGATTTTAAAGAGTGGTGGTAAATGCCTTGATGATTTTAATTTCCATTTACATGGATTGCATTAAGCTTGTTTATTGTTTATGGTGTTCCCTTGTGCACTCCACTTCAATAAACTTAAGGATTAGATTGGTATAACGGATATATTCAGGCACTAACAAGGACCAAAATTTTGTAATGTATCTGCCAATACATTGTATTGGTAGGTCACTAATACACGGAATCTTTAGTGTTTCGGGGTAAACCCTATTTCATGGGGTAGACAGTCCTTACACTGACGCCCCTGAATAGGTTCAAAAAACCTAGAAAAACATAGCATGCTGTTACAAAGTCTGATATGCCCCATCTGGCATATTGGACTGTATTGATACTTTGAACCTTGGGTACTAATTTGTTCGAAAGGAAGTTTTTGCCGGGTATAGCGAATACCTTTGTTGAGATTTCTCTAGTTAGTGAGCTTCTAACTAGGTAAATGAGACCTTTGACATGATTTCTAGGTAAATGAGACCTTCCTTCAGAAGCTAGAACATATGTACTGGTGTCGGCTTCTGCTAGGGCTTTGGTACAACATTACTTCGTTGTACATTCATAATGCTTGTGTATCAAGTCTGAGAGACCTTGCTTTTCTTACTATATGCCATTGTTCACGAGTGATTTCAAGATGTGTAGCTAACCTTGTTCTTGCTCTTAATTCAAATTGCCAAAGTGTAGCCTAAATAGCAGAAGTTATGGTCAATGCTCTGAGATACATTTTGCTAAACAAGAAATGTTGAAATGGTTTTTCTCCTTAATTGACAGGGTCGGGAGGCAAGTAGTTAATATTCCATCATTCATGGTGAGAGTGGACTCTCAGAAGCACATTGATTTCTCGCTCACCAGTCCCCTTGGAGGTGGTCGCCCTGGAAGAGTGAAGCGAAAGAACCAGAAGGCAGCTGCGAAGAAGGCTGCTGGTGGTGATGGAGATGAGGAGGATGAAGATTGAGAACTAAGCTTTAATACTTTGTCGTGATAGTAATAGAGACAGTAATTTTTGGTTGCTATATTTCCTTTTATGTAATAGTGGTGATGGAGATGAGGAAGATGATGATTGAGAACTAAAGTTTTAGTGCTTTTGTAGTGATAATAATAGTAGGGATTATGAGTAATTTTTGATTGGTATATTTTTTTTTTGGTAAAAAAGGATCAGAGGCTTTCAATATATTAGGGGGGTGGGGGGTTGTTACATCAATTTATAGTCCAGTTAAACTGCTTTGACAGCCAAGAGGGGCGAGGCTTTCAATATATTTTTTTCCCATGTTTAGAAGAGTTAGCAGTCTTGATGCATAGTTAAACATACACTGGTCAACAAGAAGTTTAATATCCGAACATATTCCTCTAGTAGCCTGGTTTAAAAATAATTTTGCCCTCTCTAATCTTTGCCACCTCGACAGAGCCCACCTTGATTGCTCTGCTTTCGGCATCCATGACTGGAACCTGGAATACAAAAGTCTTTTTTATTGTCTGCCAATAATAAATTACCAGTATGGTCCCTGTCCTGATAGCACAAGCTACAGAAGCTTCAATAGAAGAAGGATTATAAGCCGCATCACAATTGCACTTTAACAATCCCTGAGGGGTCTTCCAAGCACTCTGATGCTGATCAGAAGTAGAAAGGGTAGGAGGAGCTTGTGGGAAAAGTTCCTGAAGTAATCTCAGACAGTCAGACTTTTGTTTACCAAAACATGGAGGACAATCCATCTTGACTGATCCTCATTGGACCCACTCGTTGAAGTAAACCAACTCCCCACCCGGCCATCAAAAAGACTGAACATGAATGTCCCTTGATCTGATGTTTAAAAGGGCTTTCTAGCCAGGTTGCCCGACCAAAGTCTTGTTCTAAAATTATATAGACAACCGACTCGCTAGCAGCACTACAATGGGAGCATAATTCATTAGAAGAAAAATGTTTCTGAAACAGCCTTTGCTTGACTACAATTGCTTGGTGACAGCTTGTCTAAGGCTTCATTTTGCGGATTCTAGTGAGGGAGAAAGTCAATGGGACTGTGATTCTTATTGACCGAGACTCTCCTATATTCTTTTTGAGGATTTAGGTGGGATCCACAGTAAATATTTTTTCCTTGGGTATCAGTTATCCAGAGAAGTGTCACCCTTCTCGCACTTGAGAATGTTAACTTTCTGAGTGGAAAGTAAATGCACAAAATGCTGTCAAAAATACCCATTAAAACAATATAATCCTAAAAAAAAGGACTTGAGTCCAAGGGTAAAAATCAAGGTTTTTAAAATCGAATCGGACAACGAACCAGTCAGGGGTCTAGTTCCTGGGTCGAATGGTCCGATCGTTTGCACCGAATGGATTACCCCTTTTGACAAAAAAATAATAATAATAAAAACCAGCTAAAACCATTGGACAGTTTGAACGCCCCGGTCAACGGTTTTCTGACCAAATCAATGATTTTTGGCAAAATAACTTTTTTGGGGTAAAACAGAACTGATCACCTAACTGATTCCCAGTTTTTCTAGTCTGACCGTCTGATTTTGAAAACCATGATAAAAATGACAAAAGATAGAAAAATTAATCACTTATTTGAAAAAGTGGGTGAGGTAAAAAAACATGAGAAAATTGAGATGCCTCATCTACCTGAATAAATTTAACAACAACAAAAAAAAAACATAGGTAAGTGCATCATACATGCCATTTTCTTTAGTCACCACCCATGAAGGTATGTTCAATCTGTAACTCCTTTGCCAAGTTATCAAGGGTATCAGGAAAATTATGGACATAATTGTGCCATTTTTAAATTCCATATTTCCGCAAACATTTCTACAGTTAAAAACTTAGACTTCATAAATAAAACCTGTAATATGAGTACTAAACCCTTCTCTAAGGTGAGAACATATGAACTCTTTCACACACATCATGATATTCGAAAAGTTTTTGCAAAGAAAAAAAACACTTGCTAATGAATTGACGCCAACAAATAAAGAGAAGTGATCAGTAGACATAAGAATGACAAGTCATTAATAGCTATAACACAAACCAGATGGTAGGTTTAATAGGGGAAAATGAGCCAAAGTAGGAAAAACGACTACCATTTGCACATAAAACCTGCCAAAACCGAGGAGATTACGAGAATGTAGAAGAGACTTGGGCAATGAAATTATGTACTTAAAGTAGGAACAATATAAGCCGAGGATAAATCATACAAAATAAAACATTTATCACATACAAACCATTGAACTGCAATAGCACTTAAAAAACCTCAATAAAAATAAGGGAAAAGGGCACAAATGTCTAATGCATTTCAATTATTTGAAATAAGGGATGGTTTAGGCCATGTTTGGGAGTGCTTAAAAGTAAGTATTTATTTGGGCCATTAAGCAATTATTGGTATTTGGGAAATAAGTCAGAAATAAGTGCGGAGAAGTACGGAAGGCCCATTGCAGAATTCTGATTTCCACTGCAGATCTACAATATTTAAAAAGGTCAATTACCCCCACCCTATGCAACAATGTCCGCCTGTGAATTAGCATCAATTCCAAGTTGGCACCTACCCCAACTGTACTTCAAGCCTATGAATTCTGACCTTGGGTCGAACCGTCATTCTCCCAAATACGTGCTTATTTTAAAATTAAGGGCTTATTTTTTTAGCCCAAATTTCCATTTTTTAAGTGCTTATACAATAAGCACTTATTCAATTTTTTTCTTCCAAAAATATCCCTAGTTGAATTTTAAAATACCATTTATAAAATTATCCCTAATTGAATTTTATAAAAGTAATTTTATGAAAACACATTTACGAAAGTATTTCTATGAAATCACTTTATAAAAGTATTTTTATAAAAGTGCTTTTTAAAAGTGTTTTTATAAAAGTAATTTAATAAAAGTGCTTTTATAAAAGTAATTTAATAAAAGTGCTTTTAAAGGATATATTTGGAAATTTGAAAGAAAATGAAAGACAAAATAGTCACAAATGCTTAATTTAAGTGCTTATTAGAGAAAAAGACTACCAAATGCCCAATATAAAATAAGTGCTTATTTTAAAAAAATAAGCACTTAAAAAAATTAGGTGTCAGATGCAAATAAGTACTTATTCGAATAATAACTTGTTTTTAAGCATTTATTCAATAAGCACTTTTTTTAACTTAAGCACTCCCAAACCTGGCCTAATCATATCTGCTTAGGTGTCAGATACAATAAGCACTTTGTTTCATTTATGTATTTACTTTATACACATCTACTTAGTTAGATGACAGTTCAATCATCGTGGTTGATTACATAGTTTAGCTAAGGCGATGGTTTATTAAAATGACAAATGGATCTAAGCTGGTGGTCTTGACTATCGTCTTCGATTGAAAATAGAATTATGTGACATCAATACTAGTGGTCTTAACTGTCGTCCTTAATGGTGGTAAGGTGATGGTCAAGAAAAAACCGTCGTCTATCATAATTTGTCTCGGTGGTTATTTGAAAAACTACCAATTTGTTGTCATTACCGAGACCAGTCGTTTAATTATACCCCCTAGTGGGAAAGTTGCCAACACTTGAATGGAACAGAAATACCCCTTTTAATAATAGATTTTTATGGCTAAAATGGTCATTACCTTATTTACATGAGAAATAAAACAACTTACCCGGATAAATGTTTTCTAGGAAAAATTTACCGAGATAACTGCATTTACTTGGATAAATAACTTACCAAAAAATAAACGGGGCCTTGAATGATTTGATTAATACCATGAGGTGGTGGTCCTTGTCCTCTTAAGTTGGTGCCAACAAACTAGGCTCACAACCAATGATGGAAGCCATTAAACTATTAGCATAGATGATAGTTTAAAGGGCTAAGCTGATGGTTATTGGCCACGGGCTTATGGGGATTTTCCTGTGAATGATGCTTTCAAATTTTATAAACAAACTAGTAAAAGAAAAGGTGTAACATTACCTAAGAGTAGACTCTAACTTTAAGGGAACAATTGAGCCAAAGTAGCCAAAAATAAATAAACATTGTAAGTCTAATATAAATGCCATTTCCAAGTAAAACCTACCAAAAGCGAAGATAATATAGAACAAAGCTTGGGCAATGATCTGAAAGTTAGAAAAGGTCAAAAGCTGTATAAAAAAAAACTCAAGGTAAATCATATAAAAACCTGAATGTTGAATGTTGTTAGACAACTTATGTCCTTAGCTCAAATTAAATTGATGTATAATGAGATATATGAATTGATTTAATTAATTAATTATTGTTTCATGTTTGCGATTGGTTTGTTTTGGTATATTATCCCTTAAATTAGATATTTATCGGATTTGTGTTAGCTTAGAATGCTCTAAGCCATTGGATAAATTTGGGGAATTTATCTCGATAAGGTTGATATTGATGTATTATCGAAATCATAGAGTAACTTGTCTCAATTGTTGGGATTGGACCCTAAATACAACCAGTGGATGTTTGTAAGCAACAAACACTGAACATAGACCGATTTCTTGTTATGCCCTGCACCTTGGAGACAGATAGACAAAGTTGGAAAGTTGCACTTGACCCCATACTTGATAATGATATTATACTAAGTTTTGGACCGGACTACTTTTGATATGTCAACCAGTGAGGTCCTCTAAGGGTCAACCTAGGCATGTGGAACATATTACATGAGTGGGAGATCATTGTGATGGAATTAGCCCATTTGTTAGACAAAGATAATATTAGGGTTAATACTCTCTCTGATGATAACTTAATATTGCCAGTGGTAGATTTCACCTTGTTTTTGAAGTCATCTTGAAAAATGTATTTATATTTATAATATGTTATTTTATGAAAAGATTTGCAAAATGTTTTAATTCCAAGATCTATCTGAGCAGAAAGTGTGACACTACATTTAGTAGTTAGGGAAAAGGTCATTCCTTGTGAACAATGTATGATTATTTTGGGAAGAGGTCACTTAGACTTAAGTGTTGGACCTATATTAAGTTTAATTCGATTGGCTTAGGGGTTCATTGGTTTACTCAATGAATTCAACCCATGTACTTTTTTGCATGGGCCAAACCCATATGGACATATATAAGACATTTGTTAGTTCCACGTCATACATTATTGAAGCCCAATAAGGCTTGCAACAATTATGATAATGAACCATTTAAGTAATGACCTAAACCCATTAGCTATTTA